ATTCTTTTCTAGTTGGGCGAAAACTCGACTTTCCAACTATTACCCTATGTCTCATAAAACTTGTGCATTCTACACGACATCTTAAAGCTTTGCCTTACAGAATGCTTCTTGCAAAATTTTTTAAACATTTTGGCATTCCACTTCATGATGAGACTTTTGTTAAACTTTGCCCTACTGATAGCATCAACGTTGAAACCCTTAAAGAATGAAAATAGTAAAAGAACATGGTCAATGGCTGGCACACACAAAAGGGTTCGACCCCACTTCGAGTCCATGGACTCTACCTTTTGACGATGATGAGGATGATGATGCTGATGATATACCATAAGTCTCACACCCACCTCACGATGTTCCTGCCTCTAGTGTTCTTCGCTCTTCGTCTGGAGGATTCACATTTATCGATAATCACTACAACCTCCTCAATGATCGTATTGATTCTCTTACATCTTCGGTGGATGGACTTGGTGGGATGCTTCGGGGAGTTGCAGGTCCAGCAGGAGGCTATTCGTGCTCAGTAAGATGCCATCTAAACACAGCAAGCGGACATGCAAGCTCAGTAAACTGCCTTCTACACTCACTTCTATGCACTTTTTCCTCCATCGCCTCCTTCGGCACCGTAGATTTCTTTTGTTTTTGTCATTGTTGCTAAACTATCCTTATGTTTCTATGACTTCTCTAAAATCCTTATGTTATGGCTTATTTTTAATTTTGGCGATATGGCTTATTTATGCTTCTATGACTAATCTAAGGCGATCTTCGTTTATGATTAATGATGTGGTTTTTATCCATGTTTAGCCTTATGCTTTTTGTTTATGCCAAAAGGGGAAATGCAAAGTGAGATGATTATGAATAATTCATTTATGATAATAATACACTCAAAGTATATGAAAAATAATGGGGAAAGAGAGAAACTCCTACTTACATGGTTATCAATTTATAAAAGATAGGGGGAATACATGGAATACATGATAAAGATTGGGGGAATATAAATTACATAATAGATGAATTAATCATATTCTACAAATCATCTTGTTTGTCATAATCAAAAGGGGGGAAATTGTTGACCTATGGTTGATCATGACCTTAATGTTTTGATTATAAAAAACAAGTCCATCTTCTTTACTAACAAATTGAATTGAGTGTTTAACTCTTCAAAGTTATAAAGATAATTATTCACACTCAAAT